GATCAAAATTGTAGAAAATATAATTCTTTCCAACTTTGTTTATGTACATTTATGTCGTATAGTCAATAACAAACGAGATAATTCAATAATTATACTTTGTCAATATTTTCCCCCTTAACTTGAAAAATATCGATCGCACGATAAAATTTGTAATAAAAGAAGTTGTAGGAAATCGTATTTCCAACAACTTAAGTGCTTACCATTTTTGTTGTAAAGTTGAAAAAGGCCGAGATATTGAGCAAAAACAATTTTTTTGAAACCAATTACCGCAAGGTCCTACGCTCGCGTCTTTACCGCAAGCGTAGGACCTTAAATATTGGTAGTAGCGAAAAAATCGAAGGGACCAAAATTCTATTTCCTATATTTCCTTTTTTCAAAATGGAGAAAAACAGTAACTAGCTTCAGACCCCTAAGCTTCCCATCCATACGTTCAAAGTGGCTTAATCGCATACGGGGTGCTAGAAATTTAATTCCGAGTTTAATTAACTTCAAACCTTCATAAGTCGTTTTTTTTAAATGGAACATCCTCTATATTTTTCTATATTCTGATACACAATTTTATTCTCTTTCAAACGGTGGTACATGGACGCCATTATTTTTGTTGAGAAGGGCATGCCCGAAATCCCGGTATCTGTAGTCTCTGAAATAATTCTAATGGGCCGTCACCGTGAGACACCCTGTATAGTGTGCCTCAAGGTTCTATACTCGGACCTTGACTTTTTGTTTTGGTTATAAACGACATCATGGCTGACATTCATGTTCTTTCTAAAAGAAGATCTGTTTCTCAAGTTATGTTTTTATATAATGCTTTCCATAATATTTTGGACTGTCCAGTTGTTATATCAGGTTTTTGTACTAATTATATTTATTACATATTATTTGTAGCCAAGCAATCTCTGCCAAGTAGAAAAAGTATGTTTGTTGCATTTTAACTCACGAGAAAAATGGATCTCAATTTTCTACAGCAGTAAACAATTGCGGGAATTCGAGCATTTAGGGATACCTTCATCCCTTATTACATAATATACCTACCCGAAATATTCATATTAATTTTTTTTTTTAATTCTGCGCTTAGGGGAAGAGCGTTACAAATAAAATATATATACAAATATCATATTAAGCTACCCAAAGAAATGACTAAATGTTTGAAATTCCCTACGATTCAATGCAATAAAAATTAATGATGAATATACCCTCATTTGTATTGTCTTTTTTATGAGATTATCCCAGGCAGAATTTAATAAAGAAGTTGAAACCCACGTTTTCATTTTATTTACCTATCATATCTTCCTTCTGTGAATACGTTTCAAGTATTTAATAAAGAAAATTATTGTTTGTCGTGTTGGCGTCTTGACTTTTTTTTCAAATGCCATCCTTATCGTTTACTTAACTGATATTGCCATATTGTATAAATATATGAATGATTATATTTAAAAAGTAATGGTACATTGACGATATTTCCAACTAATCAGATATCTTTTCGGAATCAATTTTTAATGAGTTTATCACATACTGCCCAATAATTCATTCTATAATCAGAATTTTAATCACCATTAACAGTTCTGTTCCTCAGATTTGATAAAAAATTTGATACCTTGTCTTCTGCTGTAACAGAGGACCTTGTTAACCATATTTTTTTCCTTTCAACTTTCCTTTTATGGAAAAATCACAATCAAATAATTGCCTGTGAATTATCAAGTATTTATCATCTACTAGTATTATGCGGAAAAATACCCAAAGTGGAAGAGTTGTTCCGTTCAAGATGAACAAAAGTTAGGGAGAATGTATTTGGATGGAGAAACCTTAATCTTATTCGAAGTTCAATTATTCTAGAACTCGTGAGAATCACAGGAGGATTCTGGATTATTAGATCATCGATCAAGTGAAATAAAAACTATTATCGTTAAGATGCATTTTAAAATTATATACAGGGTGTCTCATAATTAGCTGCCAACCCTGAACAGGCCGATTCTATGATCAAAACTAAGTAAAAAAGTTCATATGAACATGGGTCCGGAAATGCTTCCTAAGGGCACAGGGACCCATTGAAGAGGGAGGAATGGAAATCATTTTTTTGCAATATCTCTCAATCGCGTTGTGATAAATGAATGAAATTTGGTATACACAGCTAAATTTTGATGAGCAATTTGATGGACTAATCCATTTATTTCCACAAGGTCCATTGGGGTGGGTACGGGGGGGCCCTTGGTACTTTGCGTGTGTAACTTTTTCATCTTTGACTTTTTAACAAATTGGACAGCAAATTCCGTTTTCCCGAACTGTTTTACGTTAAAAAGGTACTCTTGTTTCAAATCGTTATCTTTAACGGTTTCTGAGAAAATCGCTCTTGAATTAATCCCACTTTGGTCAATTTCATAGTAATTTAAACAAAAAAAATTTTTTTGTTTAAATTTAATCTAATTTTAATAAAAAAATAATAATAAAAAATTAAATTAAATAAAAATTAATCCTTTAAATGGAAAAGAGAGGAAAGGAAAATTATTATTATTATTTTTTGTTTAAATTACTATGAAATTGACCAAAGTGGGATTAATTCAAGAGCGATTTTCTCAGAAACCGTTAAAGATAACGATTTGAAACAAGAGTACCTTTTTAACGTAAAACAGTTCGGGAAAACGGAATTTGCTGTCCAATTTGTTAAAAAGTCAAAGATGAAAAAGTTACACACGCAAAGTACCAAGGGCCCCCCCGTACCCACCCCAATGGACCTTGTGGAAATAAATGGATTAGTCCATCAAATTGCTCATCAAAATTTAGCTGTGTATACCAAATTTCATTCATTTATCACAACGCGATTGAGAGATATTGCAAAAAAATGATTTCCATTCCTCCCTCTTCAATGGGTCTCTGTGCCCTTAGGAAGCATTTCCGGACCCATGTTCATATGAACTTTTTTACTTAGTTTTGATCATAGAATCGGCCTGTTCAGGGTTGGCAGCTAATTATGAGACATCCTGTATTTTGTAACATTGGAAATGTTTAAGGAATCGGTAGTGTAACAGTAGACGTTAGGAAAATTTTCGGTCACAATTCTAAGACTCTGTAGATGCTTAAGTGTGCTGTAAGTCAACTTAAAGTGAAAATTAAGGTTTCCAGGGCACATAGGGTGGGTGGTGAATTTGTATGTTCAGACGGCAGATCAATATATGATTTTTAATGGCAAAAAAAGGAAAATTTGTAACAATGATTTGGTAGAATGTTGTCTTGTCATAATGAAAACAATTTTGAAATTATTTTACGTAAGTTTTCACTTGTCAGCGTTTGTATAAATACATAAATTCAATACAAATGAAAAAATATTTACTTTGCTACATGTCGGAAATCATTAAATAATGATAAACATTATTATCTTTGATAAAGATCCTCATGTTTATTAGTCACGATAGTTGAAATCTGACTTGATTAGTTTTTGCAGTGACCTTCTTTTTAAATGGGATTAATAAATACCTCAATATTCATATAGTCAAGTTATACAGGGTATAAATAAATAAGTAGGCAAAAAGAGTTTCCCATGCAAAATAAATCTTTCCACACTTTCGTTGTGAAGTTACGATCGTTCAAACCGGGGGAGAAATATTTATTATATATTATTTCTTGAACGCGGAGAAAGTTACAAGAATGATATTTTATGTACCTACAGGGTGTCCCAACGAAAAACGACAGGAAAAATCTGTTTAGATGGCGTGAATTGTGACTCGCTAAGGTCCCTTTTGCACTTGCAAATCATTTTTTTCAAATTTCGGAAAATCAAAAAATTACGTCATCACCTTTTATTTTCCACGAACATATCCATTTTTTTATGATAACTGAAATTATCTATTTTTTATGAACATTTTTTGTGCAGAACTTTTGTCTCTATTTAAGTTGATGACATCATTTTTATATTTTCCGAATTTTGGAAAAAATGTTTTTCTAGTGCAAAACGGACTTTAGCGAGCCCTATTCACGCATTTCTAAACAGATTTTTACTGTCGTTTTTCGTTTGTCTGTTATGGGCCCGAGAAGCGATCTGTGGGACACCCCGTTGGACAAAGAGCGATAATGTCAGAAATGCTAACAATGTGTCTAGGTTAACGTGAATAGTTTTTTACCTAACAATATTTATAATAATATTTACATCTTTTTACATAAATAAAGAAAAAAGTAAAAAAAATTGTGTATTTTGGCGTACAAAATGAGCCATGTTGCTAACTAGGATTGTTGTTAATTTTTCACTGAATATCTTTGACAAAAATATGAATTTTTACGACAAGACCATATTTAAAATTTAGACTGAAGTTATATTACCGTCTGACTGGGATTGAGTGGTTCTTTGGCAACGTGTCTGAAATCGTACTCGTCTCCGTCGTCCTCGAAGTCGTCCTCTTCTCTGGACCCGGGGGGTTCGTACACCTTCATGAATCCGTGTGTAGGTCGCCTTTCTGAAAAATAAAAAATAAACATGATTTTTCGCCTCAGCAAGGTGTACATCTAATTTTATGGTATCTTAAGCCATAATTTTATTATTGAAATGTGTATAAAGTTATAATAAAGTAACTTCTTTTAAATATGAGGAAAAAAGACTCTTTGCTAGGGAAAAATTTTCATTTCTAGTAATATTTGAAAGCCAAAAAGCCAAAAATCTCCGTGGATATACGATTCACCCAAATATGGACTCTTTGAAACAGACACCGTCTGGACTATAATGGTTTTCATTATGTAACGTTTTGACACTTGTTTCGATAACAGAAGATGTTACTTTATATGTCAAAATTAGAAAATAGCTATTTATGATATACGTGTTAAAAGTAAGATTTTATTTTGTGAGTGAAGATGATTAAAAAACGAGCGTAGCGAGTTTTTTAACTTCACGAACAAAATAAAATCACTTTTAACACGTATATCATACACTATTTTTTCTACAAAACTGTTAAAAGTGGGCTTTTTAATTGTCATTTTTGATGTTAAAATACGACTAATGCTAATTATGTCACTGATAATACAGTTCTACTGGTTTCAGTCTCGCTTACGCTAGGAAAAATGTTTTGTTAAAACCTACCCAGTCAAAAAAGTCACAGGCCACACCACACTATGCATGTGAAACAGTACGGGGAAATATTTGCTGTTTAATTGAAGGTACACAAATACGTAATAAACAAAATTTAGCATAATTGTTTCTAAAACAGAACTCTACGCTGACGCACAGCAAACTACAAACATACCTAAACTGATAGAAAGTTTGTTCATTTAATTGGAAATCATATCCAATGCCATCCACATATTCTGTACTGATATCATTCATCTTTAGGTTATAACGGGGCCCACCTAAAGATGAAAGTTTCTTTGAAACGCTGATTAAATCCGGATTATATCTATATTCGGCTGTGCGTGGGCGTCTTTGTTGTATAAATTAATCATAGAATATTTGGTAGATTAAATTTGCCGGGGAACATCCAGGGCTAACGTTATTTGTACCATTATTAACCGGGATAGGGATTGGTTTTACACCGCGTTTGCGGTTACAAAGCATCCAGGATCAGCCTAAAAAATATTTAAAAAGTTGGTTCGGAGGGTCTCGTGAATCAAAAGTATATTTTTCTGATCATATATCTGAAAATGAGGATTTTTTTACTGCTTATCCTGCGTGAAGGTGATATTTCTTCATTATTTAGATTAAAGTATTTCCATCTATGGAAATGAAAATGAGAGTGTCACATTTTACATTTTTTTTTTAAATAAAACAGTTAATTAGTTCGATTTCATTGGAACATTTTTCTGTACAAACCTAAATATATTTCAAAACTGAAAAAAATTATATCTAGGGTAAGGGCAGGCAGCGGTACACAATCATAGAATCGTTCATCATTTTTAGGTAGCAGGCGATGATTCCAGTATACTTTTTTTGCACTAACAATAAACACATTTAAAATGTGTGCCGCTTCCCATAAATGATCACACGAAACACATCTCTCACTTTAATATACTATATTAAGTAAGTACACATAATAACATACAAAAATATTCTGCGAAAATATCAAAGGATATAAAAAAATGTGTAATCCTTTTTCTGTAGTTAAGAGTTCCGTTCCAAAAAAAGAATGTTTTCTACAAAGGTGGCAAGTTTCATAAATATCTTTTTGGACTATGTAAACTATGAAGAAAAAGAACAATTTAATTAAAAAGAATAATAACAAATATTAACATATAAACATAGAGCAAAGGAAGGAGTAGTGAAATGCTTTTATGATATCAAATCTTCAAAAATGAAATAAGATTTATAAAAAATATGTTTTACAGAAAGATATTTGTTGATTGAACTTTTGAAAACATTGAAAATAAAAACAGACTTTAAAAATTAAGGAAACTGAAGGCGAAAATAAAATAAAAGCTCCCAACCTTTTCGGATAGCATGGATTTTCCTGAAAATTTTCATACAAGCTCATCTGATCCCCCACTTCAAAAGTTATATTGTCTAGATGTGTGGTTTTTCTATTTGGGGATGAAAACTACCCTTGTACGAAAATAATGCGAAAATCGCAGATTTGCGTATTTTAAAGATTCAGTTCATGTTCAAATATGTTGGATAAAGTTCCTTTCATGTTTTTTAATATAAATTGTGATATTTAATTACCTTTCAACCCTTAAAAATCCTTAAAAACTAACCTATGGCCAAAAAAAAAATAGAAAAAACAGTTTTTAACAGTGTAAAATATTCTTTTGGTGCATTCACAATGTATTGCATTTCTTTTGTTATTCATTAGAAAGCTTACGACTCATTACAAAGTTGCAACCCTTAAAAACCATTCCTTATAATAAAGTAAAATATTATTGAAAGCTTGAGATGTTTCAATGGTATATATAAATATGTTGAATTATAAACTTTTTATTGGTTTTCAAACGATCTATGATATATTGCAACTTTTCAACCACCCAAAAAACTCTTATGGAAGACCTACCCTTCATAAAAAACTCTACCCCTTATGCAAAAGTTTCCTAAAAATTATATGTGTGAATTTATTTTTAATATTTTTTTTATTAAACTTATATGAAATAAAAAAATTGTATATACGAAATGGATGTATATTATTAAAATACTTACTCAAATCAGTTCACTAGTGCTCCAAAATACACAAAGATGATGGTAATTTACCCGCACCGAAAATTTTACCGAAAAAATGCGATTAATTTTTTTACCATAACTTTTGTAATTTTAGTTATAAATTTACTCAAAAAACCATTTTGTAGGGAATTTAAAGCACTTTAAGTTCTCTGATTTGCAGTTTTTTATCCCTTCGTTTTTTAGATTTGTAAGCTAAAAGGGCTCAGGAAAGGCAGTCTTGGAGCTTAGTTTTGAGCTTCTAACGGTCATAACTCAGTCAAATTTTGTCCTACAAAAATTTAAAAAAAGCAAATTGTTCAGTAAGAAAAAACCTACAATTTCTTATTCTATCATTTTTTTTATAACTTTGTTAGTTTTTGAAATATTTTGAAAAAAGGCGATTTTTTTAAAAATTTAAAAATTTTATTCAAAAGTAAATGAAATATTTTTTAAAATTTAGGCTTCTAAAATCGTTCAAATTCCCAGAATCTACTGTTAATACATAAATAAAGTAAATTGCAGAAGGAATACGTTTAATTTTTTTTCCGTCAAGTCATTAATTTTAATACCGATTTTTTTTTCTCAAAAATCAAGACAATCATTTTATTTTGATTGTAACTTCATTAGTTTTCATGCTAACGACTTTTACCACCACTCAATTTAAAGGTCTTTTCAAGAACTTTAATAAGTGTTATATAAGTTTTCCTCGAAAAACCTTTAATTTTTCCGCTACAGGACGTTGAACGTTTCGTCTATAGCTATCTTCGATATTGACTTCAACTTCTGGGAGTCATAACTCGGGTTCTATACCACCTACAAAAATAAAAAAAGCAATCTCTTTGCTATTTAATTACCTTCATTTTTGCTTATGATAATTTTTTTGATAAAACTTGTAGTTTTTCAGATATTCGCGAAAAATGGCTCAAAAACATACAACTAATACTTTACGGATTTTTTTGACAAAAATGCAATAAAGATTATGTTGGAGAAACTTATCGACCTGTAAATTATGAACTAGGCGACCATAAAGCATAGAACCGCAAAAAATGGTCATACAATTCAGTGGGGTTTGGATAAAATTCTAGAGAAGGAAAATAATACCGATAAAAGAAAATTAAAAGAGATCGCCATTAATTGATTAAAAGGTGAAAGATGTGTTTCTAATTAATCTATGAACTGTAGACAGAAACGTCAAAAGAAACAAAAATATCTCCCTTATTTAAAAATGAGGCTAAAAACATTGTAGACCTACTTTAATGTGAATATTCAGTAAAATATTTGAGTCGGTCTATAGAAAAATACATTTTCAAGTCAATCCACTTATAAAAGATGGATTTATGTCAAGAAAATCTACCGTCTGTGTTTATCCAGACTGTAATTAATGTGGTTGATAACAATGGTCAGGTGGATGCTGTGTTTAAAGATTCTACCAATGCGTTTGATAAAGTCATTAACGAAAACCAACTATGAAATTGGTTTTTCAAGTTATTTACTATCTACGGAGTCTAGAGATGCGAGAAACTGCTAATTTTTACATTGTCAAAGGTACCACAGGGATCCAATTTGGGACCATTATTTTCTTATGTATGGTAATTGACTTGCCAATTTACGTTCTGTTAACATGAACTTTTCTGTTCCAAATGAAGTCCTTCATCAACTGTCAAAGCTAGTATGCTTAACAAGGGAACATCCTGTATAGTGATGTAATTTTGTATTTTCTATTAGTCTGCTTTTTGCAGTGAGATTTTTCGTTAGGCAAAACTATTTTAATAAAAAAATAACCCTTGAATCCTTTGTTCCTTTGACACAAGGGTTTATTTCACTAATTTCTTAGTTTTTTGTCACAAATAAATAAAAATAATTTGGTATTTCTTGTTTCTTGCGTAAGTCTGGCATACTTTTGATCATCTTTTATATTTATATACAAACCAGTGTTGTTTATAAGATCCTATTGATATACAGAAGATATTTTCGCTCACACTCGCTTAGGTTATTATATAAATCATCGGGTTTTTAAAGGAGAGTGAAATTCGGTCGTATTCTTGGCGGGGCTTTCGTGGATTTATCAAATAATGGAAGAGTTACGTATTAAAAGCGACAGTTATTTATTACTTTACAATAGAAAAACTCCCATTCATCTTGCGGCAAACTCTAAAAATTCTATATAAATCATAAAAGGATTTCGGCAAATGACTGTGCTAAGAGTAGATAAAGTGGAAATCATTTTTTTGGTCTGGGACTTTCGATTTAAGTTTTCTCCTGACGGTCTCAGTTGGACTGTAAATCTATAGATTTAAGTAGTTTCTTGTATGGGATGCGGAAAGGGTTTTTTCTTGCACAACA